TCCTTGCTTGAAGACAAAACTTTGACGGGAAATGAGTGAGGAAACTAACTCTCCAGACTGAAAAGAATGGGCCAGCTATGGGAATTTTCGGAATCCACTTTCTGTGAATTATTTAAGCAGGCACCTTTTGGTGTTTCTAAAGTTAAACTGTACATATAATGGTAAACTTTCCGAGTGTTACTATTTGAACAAAATTCTTATATTTACATGAACACTGTGCAATGCGCCTTGTGCAAACTAGACGAGGAAAAGAAAGTCTTCACCTTCTGGATAAGTCTACTACCGGCCGGGCGTACGCGAAAAGGGAAGAGGTATAATCCAAATCGATAGGTCCAAAGAAGACTCATAATTGAGTCAGTAGGTCCTGGGGAGACGCGTAATTCAAGTCGGAACGGAAAGATCCGAATGCGGTTGGTGTGTGGTCTGGCTGTATCTTGGCAACAGTTGAGAAGGCGTTTAAATTAGTGTACGAAAATAATGTACGAAAATAACAGACGTAAATGCTTCATTGAAAGGCGAAGCAATAAAGAATACATAGCCAAGAAGAATTGGGACAAGAGGAGGAATTCAACTTTTAAAAATTACAGTAAACAAACAAAAGGTGGTTTTTAGAAAAGACGACTGTTCAATGCGAAAATCCAGAACATCGAAAAAATGCTAAGTATATGACCAGTTTCAGAGAAACAAAAGCACGGCATACAAAGGAAAACAGTACAACAGCACAAGGAAGACAAACACTACAACAAACGAAAGGACGGGACCAGGCTGCCAGAAATAATACCTTTCCTAGATATCTTACACCTTTTTGAAATTTGCAACAATTAACTGGCCTCAAAAAACTGGGACTCTCAATGCTCCATGTCATACCTAAAAATTTGCATTTATGGATTGTGTAAACAGAAAAATTTCAAGGCCTAAAAAATACGGAATGGTTTAGCCTGTGTTTTACTCTCTCACCGTTGAAAAACCCGTAAAATGCTTGCAAAAAAAAAATTACTGATTGAGATGTCACGTCTAAAACAATAAGATTTTCCAAAAAATCCATATTTTCGACTATCGATTTCCATTTGAAAAGATTATTTGTTTTACAGCAATTCAAATTTTAGCTGCTGTGACGATAATATTTGAAGATACTGGAGCTTTCCTGCAACCAGCAATTGAGAGTCTATTTTGAGCCACCGGAACTGAAAGACGATGATCCCGCCACACTTCTCGTCAGAAACAGTCAGAAGAACATTAGGCAAATTGGCCTTGGTGGTGTTGTTGTACACCATGCTCCCAGTCTTTGGCCTATACTCTAATCCTGAAGAGTATCCTGAAGACCAGCGGGCTGTAATATTACTATCCTTAGGCAACGGGAAAAATACCTAAAGTGCAATTTGCTTGTCCTAAACGCGGGACATGCAAATTTCACTGCGAATTTTCTCCTTTTCTCAAAAAGAAAAAGCATAAATGTGTGCGCACACACACACACGCAAACACCCACAAACACATACACGTACATACACACACACACACACACACGCACAAACACACACACACAGTGCATCGCTCCCTGAGTGCCTCAGCTTCCTACTTCTACAGAGGAAAGATCAGAAAAACAGCAACCCCATCAGAACGTAAAACCACTGATTTTAACCATACGAGCAACAGCTGCTGCATTTTCTAGCAGCATGGCATTCGGGAACAAGAAAAACCTGTCAACATGAAATAACTCATCACAAATAGAACAATGCAGGAAAACGACAGCGAAGAATGTACAACCATAAGTCCAGTAATACACATTTACCAATCACCGCCGCCACCGAAATCATCTCCCCCACCTCCAAAATCGTCCATGCCTCCACCGAAGTCATCGCCGCCACCACCCACATCATAACCGCCAAAGTCACCGCCACCACCTACGTCGTAACCGTCGTGTTGATCCTCGATCATATGGCCACCTGCTGTATCTGTTACGTCTGTAATTGCGGGTGTCGTATCACCAGTGCTAATAGAGCCCGCTCCATCTGGGCCACCACCATAGTAATTATTTGTGATGTACGTGTCATTATCCTGAAAATTTTTGACTGAATCAAAAAAAAAAGGTTTGAATTTGAGGGAAAAAAGACAACCGTAATGCTTTTATTACTAATACCAAGATGCTTGCACTACAGAAAATTCTGTTCAATCTAAACCTACGGAATCCTGAAAATACGAAAAACTATGAAAGAAAATCTTTTGCCTGATATCCTCGTGCTGTTGTTAAAGACCTAATATAGCCTATATTACTTCCTAAAAGTTGGTCTGCATGGGACAGTGTTGCTTTATGACCACAACAAAAATTTATGAAACAGTAAATTCATTTTTGATTCATATCGGCCCAGTGGCTGAAAAGAGCAAGGCGAAAAAACAGAAGAAATCGCCTGGACGAACAGCAGCTATGTACGGCGAATCTTTTAAATCATCATGCATTTTTAGAAAGAAAAGGCCTCTACATCTCAGCCACACTGCTGCTACATTTCAGTGATATCAGTGTTTGAAAACAGCCCTGCTGTCCCTTCGGCAGCTGTTTTTTATTTTATCAAAAAAATTTTTAAAAGCTCCTGACACTTACCTGTACATATCCACCACCGAAGCCACCACCCATTCCACCGCAGCTTGGGTAACCAAAGCCAAGACCTGAATGAAGACCTCCACCCCACATACTGCCCAAACCGAACCCCATTAATGAGCCCATCAGTAGCCCAGTGCCAATACCAGGCCCACTGCTTCCACTATAACCACCACCACCATAACGCTGACCATAATCGCCACCACCTCGGTCCTGGAAAAAAAAAATGAATTTGAATTTTATACCAAAATCTCATATTACTGCTTTTATGATGAACAAAAAGCGTGTGTCAAGGTTTTTGCATTTGTGGACATAGGGATTTTTTCAAAAAAGCATAAATATGGATAAATAGAAATAACACGCGCGTAAAACCACTGTAGCTGCACAACAAGTACGGTCTAGAAGCTCCTAAAATACAAACTGATTTCAACAAGAAAAAGTCTCGTCCACAGGATAATGTTTTATGGTGACTGACCGCAATGATAACAGTGGTACCGCCACCAGCACCAGCGCCGCTACCGTAACCTGGCCCGGAAGCACCGTAGACCGGACCAGCGTACTGAGGTGGATAAGGCTGCATTGGATTTGACTGTGCGGCATAAGTCGGCTGGTTGGGATATGTACTTGCGACTGGAGGCGGCCCACTTGGATAAACTGGAGGTGGATCTGAAACAAAAATTCGAAAAAAAAAATTAAACGCAAGAAACCGAGGTTTTTCGCAAACGTTGAAAACCGGGAAAAAGTGACCTCATGCATTTGGAGCTGTAGTATTCTCTTATCAAAAAACGGTATTTTAATTAAGCAAATGGTGGGACACAACAAAACAATGATGAGCTCGGGTGTTCGGAAAACGCAAAAGAGCCGAGCAGCAAATATAAAAACTAACTGTAGGTAGATGGTGGCGCACCAGCTACATCTGCTTGACGCGGCTGCTGCGCACCAGCTGGAGGTGGATTCGGCTTCGGTAGTGTTTTCATAATTTCCGTAAACCATGACCTAAAACTGCATATCGTATTTTGAAAGAAACAAACACCAGTGCGTTTTGGCGAAAAGTCACTGCAGCTCATCGTGGTCTCACATGTGAAAGTTTTGGCAGAAAAACTGCTAACTCGGGAACAAGAAAAGCTAGAAAGCTTGAATTTTAAGGGCATATTTTCTACCCGCATGCAACTAAAAGCTTTCAAATCCAGCTCCCCAGTACGTCTGCATCTTGCCGATAACCAAGCATATGAATGAGGGGTACTCTCAAGAAAGTAAACGACTACTCCAGTAGTCCCAAAGAAGTTGCACATGTACATTGAACAGGGGGTGAACATTAACTTGAGGTATGCAGTTTGTGATCGAAGAGGCCGGCGCAGTTGCATCCGGCGTGTAGGAGTATCTTAGTAACACCATTAATAGGGGACACTTCACAGTGAGTGCATGCGCAGTCTAGGTGTTCTTAGTATAAAATGTACGTGTACGTAAAGCCTGTAAGTCATAAAAAAAAGCAGCAAAGCTCACTCAAGATCGGAGTCGGATGAGAACAAGAACCAATAAACTTTACTTGCTTGTGGGTCCGTACCAATACCAACCAAGTGATACACCGAGTATCTTTCGGGCAATTCAGGCCGTCGCACTAAAAACGAGAGTTTTGAAGCCAGCAGTTGAATTATACTTCCGACGCAGAAATAATTTATTTATTATTGAAAAAGAATATTTAAATTTCCAGGTTTAAAGAATTCCGAAATTGCAGTTCTTTTCAAATTTTAGATGAGCGCTCTGTTTGCTCATTTTCAAAAAACTCGCCCTGTACTAAATTTCGACAACCAAAAAAAGTAAAAATAATTTCTCTACGAATGCTTCTTTTCGAAGTCATACCCGGCATGCGATCACACATCGGACCGACACATGTGTACGGTACATAATCTTTCAAGAAAAGTGAACCAGCCGGCTTTGAATCGCTCTGAAACAAAAAAAAAATTCTTGATCACACAAACGATAAAGAACTAAACGATAGAAAATGTAAAAAGACCCAGGCTGGAATGCACCAGGCGGGCCAGTGCGATTATGCGTTTTTGCACTTTTCGTGCCGTAGC